ATATGTCATCTACTTTAAACGGTATACGATAAAGTGCCATCATCAAAAGTATATCAAAAACACTTCTTCTATCTTCGTCCAAATTCAATATTCGATCCACAAATGGTTCAGCACAAATTCTTCGGAAATCGTAGTCATTCATACAAGTCAAACATTCTTCTTTCGATATGAAAGGCTGATTTCTTGCTATTATATAATTCAAAAGCATATTTACTGCACGAGTCAACAAACCAGGAACTCCACCTGTACATTCCAATAATGAATCTGCCAATTCATTTACTGAAAATGAAGAACTACATAAGACATTACAAACCGGTTCTTGAGTAGGTGTCTTTAGAAGACTCTTTTCAAGGAATTCAACGATACTGGAAGCGTCCAAAGGTGATAAAGGGATAAAATGTAGTATAACTCTTGATAGCCCAAAAGCTACATCATTCTTAATACTTAAACCCTTGCTTTTCCCAACAACTATAAAAAACAAGTCGGGTTCTTCGCACAATTGACTAATGATACCGAAAAAGTCATTGTATGGTCGAACCACACCTTTGTCATTCTTCTCCAGTTCAAACAAAGTTGCCTTTGTATCAAACACACCAACTTCGTCAAATGCCACAAGGAGATATTGATCGGAAGGAATGTTTAAGATTGAACGGATTTTCTGAACCAAAGCATCACTCCTAAGTTTCAGTTCCTTGAAACATTCGTCCGGGTCTGGTTGCGGAAGACCTGATTGCAAACAAGCAGCCTTGATTAACAAATAGTACACTGCCCACTTCAGGTTTCGAGAAAACTCTATCGGGTCTATGGGCTTCAACTCCCTCAAATCCACAAAGAGCAACGAAGCCTTCTTCAAATTCTCCAAAAAGGTTCTCCTCGAAGGGTCTGAAGCAAACGTCGACAGAAAAGTTTCACCAAACCTTTGCACCAACTCCAAATAGGTTCGGGCAAAGGTCGTTTTGCCTGAGCCAAAGAGATGGGGGGCAAATGGTATCGTCAAGCGATAGTCGCAACTGCTTGTTATACCCCTGAGTTGTTCTCTGTTGCTATGAAGATCATACAGTTCTTTTGTCACTCGAACAACATCTCTTTCACGATCTACCACAACAGACTCAAACTTGTCCACAGCTTTCCACTTTTCATCCAAACTCGCCATCGCCAAAGAGAAATTAAACAACCTTCTGTTTATTTCGGAGTACAAATATAAATAAATGAACGATTGACTGTTTGTCGGTCACAACAACAACAAGGAAAACAGTAAAGGATACCAATCCAACTTCTTCTCTTTATCAACTGATGACTATGTCATACCCTTTATGGCTTGGACTGAGATGACTTGAACTATGGGAGAACGATCAATATGGCTTTTTGAACTATCGATATTCTTATTCTCGTATGCTAATATAATGGTAACTCTCATAGGGTACAAGAAGGATCGGAAGAAAGCCAATGTTTATTTCACAAGTTTTTTATGCTCTTTGAGAGTATAAAGCTATTAAACATGGCCCATCCTCACATAGATAAGAAAGTTTCTTTCAGAATTTTCGAGAGTAGTCATGAGAGTTCCAAGCAATATAGATTGTTCATGAAGAATTTGTTCCATAGACGTCTCTCTCTAGATTTTCTGTATTTTATGGAATAGTTTTTACGTCACCTTTGCTTCATTTCGAAACACGGAACTAGATTATGAACCAAGTCATTCTCTTCTACAGTCTATTCAAAAGCTCCAGTTGAAATATATTATTTAGTAGAAATGCAGAAACCCGCAAGCACAGCACTGCTTTATTCTCAGCAATCACCAAATTCCTTTCTTACGCTTTCATAACTAGCAGCTTATCACTAAAGCTACAAAAGTTGATGATAGCAAAAGACAAAGCAAAACAAACGTGCAAAGAAGGATCCAAAATATCTCGTGGTTTTATCAAATCTCAGAAACAACATTGACTCAAGTGTATCATCAATACTCAATTTCTGTAAGAGTCAATAACTCCTGTTTCTTTCTTCTCTGAAAATAGTAGCATTTGATACTGTGAATTCTGTTAAGAGGAGAAAAGATATTTTTCAAGAAATTCAATTCAGTCGAATTGAGTCTATTCTAGCGACTCTCTTCTCGTATCTTGTCATTGCATAGCATTTGAATCATAGTTGAATTCTTTCTCCTCAGTAATCGACTATACAGTTGAGGTGTTTTTGAAGGTAAACATGACTGTTTAGGTTTAAAGGCATTTGCTGCATCCTCTTGTACGATAAACTTTGTAAAAACCACAACTTTTAAAGATATACAAGAAAGCAAACTATAGAAAGTAAAAGCTGCTTTAGGAACGATATAACTCCAAGAGGGCTATTATCTCTTCCAATATAAAAAAAGGTAAAACTTTTAAAAGCTCAGCATAATCAAGGAACGATTTGTCCAG